TCTCAAAATAAAAAAGAAAAAAGAGAGACAGAAAAAAAAAAAAAAATATGGATATAAAAATCACGCAGCGGTGCAAGGTATATAAATGCAAGATCGAGATTGGACAGAGGCGATGATGTTACGGTACACACACGACTTACGGCCGTTGGACCATTAGTTTAGCCATAACGCTCCGACGCATAATACACGACACAATGGATTCTATTATTGGATATTCATCTGGTTCTCCCTTTCCTTCTTCCAGTTGATTTTTTTTTTTTTTTCTTCTTCTTTCCTCTTTGCACTGCAGCGGACGCAGCTTTGGTTGTGAGGATCCATAAAATTAAGATATCGCGGGCTCACGCCTCGCACCGGCTATTACACCCCGCCAACTCCTCCTCGCCCCGGCAATTAAGTAAACTGGCTCGAAAACCGGGGATGGGCGTCGCCTGCTCATGCGCTCTCTCTCTCTCTCTCTCTCGACAAAGAAATCGATAGAAAATTCATAATTCACGCTTGTTATTGAAACAATTATTTCCCCCTCTATCTACTTACAACAGTCTATACATTTTTTATTTTTTTTATTTTGTTTATTTTGGGAAAAAAAGGCTTCTTGACACGAGGAACCTATAATTTAAAAAGATGATGGAAGAATAATCCGACGTGCGGTGTATACGGCGCGTACAAAAAGATGATCGAGTGCAATCGCGACGAAGGAAGCCAGACAAGTGTACGAGTAAAAAGCAGCAGCGATGAAGGGGGGGTTGGTGAAGAAATAGAGTAAAAACAACAAGAAGACAGCTACTTAGTAGTCGTAGGTATAAATCACGATGCGAGAGGTGATGGCTTTCACGAGGCGGTGTGTGTATTATACGACTTTACGCGTATACACCCATATGTAATCGTATATTATATGATACAGCCGCGTCGAAAGCATATTCCTTTCAACTGTCAATTAAAAATCACGCTTTGAGATCTATTGCTTCGAAATTATTATTATTTATTTATTTATTTACAAAAAAACTTGATTGCTGTGCAAGAAAAATGTCAAAATGTATTTTAAACCACTTTTTCAAGTTTCCCCATCACCGGCAGCCTTGTAAAAAAAAAAAAAAAAAAAAATATATAAGCCTTTTCGAAAAGATTACAATCTTCGGAGTCGTTATTAACTGCTCCTCGCGTACGGCAAAGTTTCGAGGATTTACGATAATTTTATTCAACTTTTTACGCCGGACTCGATTCAACAGGTCGCACGTATGGCTGCATGCGCACCGACGACGATCCGGACATGCTTTATCCTTCTATAACGTGATTCGTCGCGAAAAAGGACAGCGAGCAGGTCTCGTCAATGAAAGTAAAATAATTATTGAATATATATTTTTAATCGGGAAAAAATTTTTGTATCGTCGCATGCAAATGGCGATTATCGCGGAAAAGCGGAAAAACAGCTAATTTAATTAGAGATATAAAAACAAACGAGCCCTATCATCATTAGGAGGGAGGGATGAACGAGAAAAATGAGCTTTCTTCAAGTGACTTTCTAAGAACTACTAGAAATAGCCGGCTCTATATAAGGAGCGCGTAATCTTAAGAAAGGCTCGTGAAAAAAAAAAAAAATGTTCGCGTATTTGCGCAAAAATATCAGCTGTCCTGCCTGCGATGGACAAAAAAAAAGGGGGGAAATACGAGTCAGTCGTATATCACTCACGTTATGTGTGTACCTATATACCGACACGCTCGTATGTGCAAACAGAAGGGAGTGTCGTTTTAAGTGACGACGTGAGAATCTTTTTCGGAGCCGATTCCGAACTAGGCTGTTACTTTTTTTTTTTTTTTTTCTCCTTCTCGTTCTTTACGTGATTCTTTTTTGCCTTTATAATTGGAGGCACCTTCCCCGGCTCGGCTGTGAAAAACGAGTATTATAAGTTGTTTTGCCAGAGTCCCTTGGGCCCCGATGGTCTTCTCTCGGGGGACGAAAGAGGGAAACGAGCCACAGAGAAGCGATTATTTCGATTCGGTGTGCTAATTGGACGATTTACTTTTTGCTCCTCCCTCGTTGCCCAACGCGTCCTTTATGTCGCCTTAAGGGGCTTTCCCCCCCCTGCTCCTTAATTAAGTGGTAATTAGCGCGAAAACGTGTCAATGCGTATACTTTAGTTTCGAGCAAGTACAATCTCACGTGTACTTTGTACCGCTTCTCGTTGAAAATTACATTGATGCTTCATATCGATCAAGCTTTGTTTAATTTTAAACTCAAGTTCAAAAACTGATGTAGTTATTCAACCATAATATCCGTGCAAGCGAAATACTTGATACGAGAGGTGCGAACATTTTGCGCGTAAATCATATCTAAAAGTTCGATCGAGAGATGGGGTGATGGCGAGGCAGGGTATTTTTAAATTAGGGAGAATTTCAAGTTAGCCATTGAGAGGGGCTAGAGAAAAAAATAATTTTCAAGTAGCACCCCTTGGTAATTACACATCAATGTTTTCATCTTTATTTTCAATCAAAATACGTGGTTTCAACTAGCGTTGTATAATTATTTGAGTATATTATTTTTACATAAGCCGCAAATATTCGTGTTAGTTAATTAAATTATCTAATTATACTAGTTTTTTCAAGCACTTTTTGGGTTGTCAGGAAAAAATCATAACTTTGTCCCAATAATATGAAGTTGTTAAAATGCGTATTTTTTGAGATCGATAACTGTTGTATCCAAAATTTTGTTGCACATTTTCAACTTTTTAGAAAATTATAGGGAATTATAGAAGACTATTACTGTGGATTGACGAGCGATCAAATCTCTTCTTCTGGAAAAACAATTGAAAACAGTGAAAAAAAACACAAAGATATCCATTAATTATTTGTAGATTTAAAAAATACATATGATTCAATCAGATCAAAGATGGATCGAATTTTTATATCTCTACATACAGCTATATTGGGACTGCCTATTTTGGCTATTATTAATACTGGCATTTAATTTCTAGTTTTCTAATTGTTA